TCCTGGAGCCCAGAGAGGTTTGAGCTGGCTGAATGTGGGGTGGTCAGAGAGGGCTTCCTGGAAGAGGGGATGTGTAAGCTGGATCTGAAGGCTGGGAAGAAGGAGAAAACAGAACGGAGGTGTGTCCCCAGTAGCGGGTACAGCATGTGCAAAGGCCCAGAGGGGAGGGGAAAGGGCCTCTACTGCCTTGCAGAGACATCCCTGAGGGTGAGGGGAGCCACTAGGAGAGAAGACCCAAAGACCTCCCAGACTCCTAATCTGGTCTGGGCAGAGGGTGGGTACAGAAATAAATCCTGAAAGAGTGAAAGGAACCAAAGTCCACATCACTCGGGCTCATGGGGACCTAAGCAGCAGAGCTGACGTTGCAGCTGAGTGACACAGGGAACAAAGCAGTGGGCGTCCACCACAAAGACCAAGGAATGAAGGAATTCCAGGTCCAGGTGGAGCGAACGGCGGGGCAAAGGTCCAATGGGAGGCTTATGACTCACTGGTGAAGCTGAGGTGGGGTCAGAGTAGCCACAGCCAGCGCTGAAGGCTGCAGAGCTGGGCTAGAGCATCAGGGACTGGGGGCTGGGGGCTGGCCCAGGATGACGGGGAGTCATGGAGGGTGTGTGAGCAGGGGCACAGCCAAGTCCAGCTGGGGGCAGGGGGCAGGGCAAGGCCTGGCACTCACTTGGGCTCCTCTGCCGGCCGCCACTCCACAGAGTGGTACAAACTCTTCATGGCCACCAGCCATTCCCGAAGCACGGCTGACGTGTTGTCTGAATTGTGGTCCGTGGCCACCCTGCAGACAGAACAGGCCAGTGAGTGAAGTTTGGGAGACCAAGGCAGGACGAGCAGCAGCAAGGCAACAAGGGCTCCCACGACCTGGCTGGGCTTCCCACCAGCTACACAGCCCTGGGCAAGACACTTCTGCACTCCGTGCCCCAATTTCCTAATCTGTGACACACGGGGTGAGGACAGGGCCCACTTCACGGGGCTGCAGAGGGGATTAAACAAGCTAATTTTTGAAAAACACATTAGATGACGTTCGTACTATGGGGCATCAAGGATCTTATAACCACATTCGCTACTAAATATGTGAGATGTAATAAAAAAAAAAAAATATATATATATATATATATATATATATACATCATGCAGCCCTGCCCCACCTTCCTCAATTCTCTCCTATGAGCAATACCACTCTGGAGTGGGCTGTGGTCACTCATCCATTCAACAAACATTTCTCAAACACCAACTGTGTGCTTGGATTATCCGGCCTGGAGGGAAAAGGAATATTTGGAAGTCTAGTTTGACCATCAGCTGAGAGTTATTCTCCCAAAAGAACTGTTATTTAGTCAACAACAAGGATAGCAACGATGACAATAATAACAGTAATGACAATAATAACCACAGCTCTGGTCACTGATGCCAGGCGCAAGGGCTTCACACCCAGTAAACTGTTCATCTTCAGAGACAATCCAACTAGAATTATATTAGTGTCCCCATTTTCCAGATGAAGAAACTGAGGTACGAAGCGGTAAGTTACCAGTCAGGCTTGTTCATGGCCCTGCCCCATTCTGCTTCTACGAAGGATCCACTCCCCGCAACCTTCCGCCTTCCGTCCCTTACCCCACCCACCCACTCCAGTAGTCAGAAGGCAGGAGATCCGATTCAGGCTGGGTTCAGGGAGCAATACGGCAGCAGGAGCTTAAAGACGTTCAGTTAGTAGAAGTGCAATGTGAGCCACTGCAACGCCCCAACTGGGGGTGGGGGCGGGTTCTCAGGCTTCCCTTTGAAGCTGTGTGTGCTACCAAGTGGATTGGCGGGTTAGTTCCGGGCAGTGAGGCACGGGTGATCCGGGATATGCCCTAATGGGGGGGCCAGAGGCAGAACTGTGGCCCGCCCCACCCTAAAGAGGCCAGCAGGCAAGGCGCCGTTCCGGCTGGTGCTAATGCGGCAGGGGGAAAGCAAGCAGGAAGGCACGCGCGGGGTTGGCCTGCCCTGATGGGGGGCAGCAAGCAAAAGGCACGCGTAGGGCTGGCCCGCCCCGCCCGGTGCCAGGACAGCGGGCGGGGCGCGGCGTGGACCCGCCGGGATGGGGACAGCAGGCCGGATGCGGGGCCGCGGGCGCCGCGCTCACCACAGAGCTGTGCGGTCCCGGGGGTGCCGCAGCCGCTCGAGCGCGCCCAGCGTGGAAGGAAGCGCGTGGGCCGCGTTGCGCGCCAGCAGCGCGACGAGAACGCGCGGCGCCTGCAGCGGCGACTCGGGGCTCCAGCGCTCCTCTGGGAAGTAGGCGGCGGCGCCCGGCGGGCCCTCCAAAGGTGGCAGCGCCAACAACAGCAGCAGCAGCAGCACCGGGAGGGGCCGCCCGTGCCCCCGGCAGGCGCGTGGGGTCGCCGCCATCGCGCCACGCGTCGCCTTTAAGCCGCTTTTCTGCCGGCGGACGCGGACGGCGCCTTAAAGGGGCCGTGGGGATCCCGCCCCTGCCGCGCGCCTTAAAGGGGAGGAGAGCTCCTGGCGGAGTCAGCCGTCAGGGCCCGCCTCCAAACGGTCTTAAAGACACAAAGTGCCTCCTACCCTCCTCAGCGGCCCGCTCGAAGTGACGTCAATCTGCAGGCCTGCCCGGGAAGCCCAGCCTCCCCCGACCCCCCCACCCCAAGACGCTGAGCGCTCTGAACTTGGGTCTGTGCGATAAAGCCGTCAGAGCCCAGAATCTGCCCTGCCACCGAGCAGCTGCTCTCGCCAGGATCTCAGCCTGATTCGCCATCCAACTTACATTTGTATAAGACCGGCTGTGTCACGAGTCGAACCTGGATAGTCAGGATCTGGTTTGGGACTCAAGATCTGAGCCTCAGTTTCCTCTGCTGCAACGTGGGTTTTACCACTCTAGTTCTCGAACTCCCTGGAATGCCCTCAAGGGTTGTTGAGTACCAAGCGCGTGGGCCCTGGCGTCCCCAGACCTGGCTTCAAATCCAGTCCCCAAGTGGGCCGTCTGTGTGAGCCTAAGTTTGTCCATCTGTAAAATGGAGTCATAACGACCCCGCAGGCTTGTGTGTAGATGGAACGGGAGGGAGGTGGACGTTTCCAAAGAAATGCTACGAGGGGGCTGTTTTCCAGTAATCTAATGTGTTTTCTAATTCATCGTTTTTGTGATGCTCAGTTATCTATTTATTAACGTGAGTGGTGGGGGTGGGGGCTCAATATTGTTAAGTAAAATTCAGGGGACAGATCGTGTGTCCTCAGTGTGTGCAAGAGACAGTAGGGCAAAAGTTAGGAAGGAAAGGTGAGGAAAATCTCATTCTCTTGGGGGAGGAAACCATGGAGTGTGCATTACCCGCCTCTGAAAGCTGAACTGAGAAAAACACTGGGGAAGTCCCTCCCAGAACCTACTCCGGAAGCAGCTGGAAGTCTTGTGATGTGAAGCTGCCAGGCTCCAGTGGACAGATGGCTTTTCTGGCAAACAGAGGAAGGCAGTAAAAGCTCTACTCAGCTGGGAAACTTGATACTAAGTTAAGATTTTGGAGCAAGTAAACAAACCCAAAGGCCCACAGCAAGCTGAGAAAGAAACATCTGTGGCTTATCAGAAAGTGTTACTATCCTTAATATACAAAGAGTTATTAGAGATCATTAAGAAAAATATAAATTCTCCTGAAGAGAAAAGTAGGTAAAAGCTATGAACAGGCAATTCACTAAAAAAGAAAAGAAAAGAAAGGAAAACACAGAAACACACATACAGTGGTAAAGAATCCACCTTCCAATGCAGGGGACACGGGTTCATTCCCTGGTCGGGGAACTAAGGTCCCACATGCCACAGGGCAAATAAGCCCAGGCGCCTCAACGAGAGAGAGAAAACCCTGACGCCACAACTAGAGAGAAACCTGCGCGCCACAACAAAAGATCCTGCATGGCACAACTAAGACCCGACAAAGCCAAAAATAAATAAAGAAATAAATAAGAAACACACAAACATATTAATGGTCAATAAACATATTTTTAGGTTCAGTGTAGTCATCAAAGAAATTTTAAATAAAACAATGCACTCTGTGTGTGTGTCTATCAAACTGGCAGTTTTTCCTTTTATGAAAAGTCCTAGTGTTTGGAAAAGAGAATACGTACAAATGCTGCTGGTGAGAGTGTTAAAAGGCATAGCCTTTCTGGAGAGGAGTAAGGCAGAGGTGTGGGGATTATACAAGCCTTGAACTGGTACATGTGCTTTGACTCAGAAATTCCACTAGTAGACATTTATCCGTTGAGAATGACGATGAATGTGGGCAAAGCTTCAGCTCTGGAATGTCCCTGGAGAAGGCAGTGGGCAGAGTGGCTAGACCTCGGTGCTGAAGCCTGGTTGCCTGGAGCAAGTGCCTCTCTGAGCCTCAGTTTCCACATCTGTAAAATGGAAAGTGTCATAAGGATGCCAAAACATTTGGACACATCAAATGCCTGGCACATAATAAATGCCCAGTAATTGGAAGCTTAGCGAGAATAATTTAATAGAAATGTAAAAGCACCCAGAAGGTAAGTGGGCCACAGAGAGAAAAGGAGGTTCACAGAGAAGCTCCTAAACACATGAGAAGACTCTCCACCTCACCCCCAATAAGACATGCTCATTAAAATGATGCCAAGACAACATTTTTCACCCAGAAGACCTGGGAAATCCCAAGTCAGCTGACAGCCTGTGGGGAAATGGGCCACCTCCACACAGATGAGTGGGCACCAGGTGAGACCACTCTGATGGAGAGCACTCTCAAGACTGCTATTGAAATGACAAACATGCATGCTCTAAACCCTGAGATTTCACCTTGGGGGATTTACCCCCTTGCATGAAAAGTATGTAAAAGGTCATTCACTGTGGTGGTAGCTGTTAGTGCAAAAGATTAGAAGCAAAACCCCATCATCAATTAGATTCTGGTTAAATGGATTAAGAAGCCCATCCACAATCCTTCATCCCCAGTTGCAAATCCCCAAATATTATGACACCCAGGAGTCTTTCTAAGATTGTTTAATCTTCATGTATCCCAGTGAGTGTGAATATTCATCAGTTTATCTGCAGTAATTGACTATGAGATGCTGCCCCCAATCAGCTAGGGAGTGTATTAGTTAGCTATTGCCACATAACAAACGACCCCCAAAGTTAGCCACTGAAAACTATACACGTTTATGATCTCAGAGTTTCTGTGGGTGAAGAATGTGGGAGCCGCTTAGCTGGGTGGATTCACAGAGCTCTCATAACAAGGATACCCAAGGGGGTTGAGGAGCTGAGAGCCGCTCCAGAATACCTGCATCTGCCCTGGGTCCTGAACATCCAGATTATAAACATCTTGCCCACTGGTCCGCTTCTAGTTGGACCAGTTGCTTTCTGTCCCATTTCAGGGAAGTCCCCATGAAACATTTCCGTCTTAGGGATGGAGTTCAGGATCCCTGCACCACCAGCAGTGTCAGCCTGAGCCCTACACACATTTACTGCTGCAACAAGGAGGTCTCTGTAGGGTCCTATAGTAGGAGGCCAGGCTGCCCTGGCCCTGAGCACAACTCCATGCACCCATTGTTAAGGTGAACCTAAGGCTCCCATCACCACTATCTCCCCCACCAGTGCTGGGAACTGGTAGCTGTTGGGAGAGGCCCTACAGAGGCCTGGCAAGAAGAGATGGGACACAAATTCATATGAATGTCAGAGGATACCTCTGACACTCAGGCACACTCCTTGGCTCCCCATTGCCCTAGTTCACCATGAGCTTGGCCAACCTGGCCAAGTCAGGAGACAAGGTGCATACTGTTCCATCCAGGAACCCACACTCACAATCCTCTTGTATACCCCACACAGGCCCCCCGACCCTGGCAATTCACTGGCATGGGCCAAGAACCTGTGAGGTCCCCACCTGTTTCTCCTTGGTCCCATGGAAGCTCCGAGCAGCCATCCAGAGTGCAGGACATGTTGCTGGCACCAAGGGCTTTTTTCAATTCTAAAATAAAAGACAGAGACTTCCCTGGTTGCGCAGTGGTTGAGAGTCTGCCTGCCAATGCAGGGGACACAGGTTCAAGCCCTGGTCTGGGAGGATCCCACATGCAGTAGAGCAGCTGGGCCTGCATGCCTCAGCTGCTGAGCCTGCGCTCTAGAGCCCGCGTGTCACAACTACTGACCCCCGCGCGCCTGGAGCCCACGCTCCACAGCAGGAGAAGCCACAACAGTAAGGGGCCCACACACTGCAGCAAGGAGTGGCCCCTGCTCGCCACAACTAGGGAGGGCCTGCACGCAGCAAGGAAGACCCAACGCAGCCAAAAATAAATAAATTTTAAAATAAAATAAAATAAAGAGATAAACCCCCGGACCCACCTAGATAAGCCCCAGAATCCCAGGGCTTCCATGAATTTTCCCAGAGAGGCCACAAGAGGGCAAAGCATGGAAGAAATGTCTCAACCAGGAACCCTAAACAAGTGGCTCACATGAGCCTCTCTCCACACCTGTGCCCATGGCAGACCTTGCTAGCCGATCCCCACACCTTCACTGAGCCTGGATGCTACCTACCCCACCTTCCAGCACAATGCTTCAAGCAGACATCACAAATCAATTGAGGATGGAAACACCCCACCCCAACCCCGCCTTCAGTACATGTAGAACTTCTAGGAATGGAAACCTGTTACTGAAAAATTTTTTCCAATCAGACATTAGCTTTTTTCCATTTAAAATGGCCCCTATTCTAAAGGAACTCGGTTCTTTTTGTTTGGCCTCAAGGACACTTCTCACCCTTACTTCCTGGCTCCCAGAACACTGCTATCTCTGGGTTTCTCCCACCTCTCTGACTCCTCCTTCTGCATCCCTTCTTCCTCTTTGTGTCCTTCAAATCCAGGCTCTTTGGGACTCCTCTCCTTTCTCTCTACACCATCCCCAGGGTTGTGGTCCCTCCCATGCACCCAGTGACACCCCAGGCCAACAACAACCTCTGACTTCCGTCTCATCCTCATGCCTGGGCTCCGTCCCCTTGGTTGCTGCCCCTGCTCGAGTCCATCCTTTGCCCCCCAGGACCAGGCCCTCAGCCTCCTCCCTGGCTTCCAGTCTAGCCACTGTTGCCCTCTTGCTTACACACCCTCCGTGGCTCCCTGTTGCCTGCCACAAAATGTCTAAACTCCTCTGCCTGTCATTCAAGGCCCTGCACGTCTGCCCTGGCAGCCTGCAGCCTCCTCTCCTTCCTTCTGTGTCAGCTGTGACATTCCCTGAATAACCATTACACATTGCTCATTCCCCTGTTAGTACACGTCTCAGCAGTCATAGGCATTGGGTCAGGAAGGAACAGATAAGGCAGGAGGGAGAAGAGACAGTCAGGAGTCTCTTCCCAGCCCAGGAAATCCTAAGAGGCCTACCCAAAGTCCACGTACTCTTGAGGGCTCAATGCTAGCCCAGAATAAAACATGGAGAGGTTGATGAATGAGTAAATGTAAATGTCTATCCCCAGTTTTTAAATTTTGCCGCCCTTCTCTCATCCTAAGAACTACATATCCGTCACAGCCCCACTCCAATGCCCCCTCCTTCAGGGAGCTTCCATCACTGCCCCTCTAGGCTCGTCCACCCCAGACCCCCTCTGTCCCAGTCCTGGCCCTTAGTCAAAGGGCTAGTGTTCACAGGTAGTGAGAGGTGATGGGGACCCTAGTAGGGCTCAGTATACACAGCCAGGGGTCACCAGGCTCCCCTGAGCCATAGGGGGTGGGGCTCACCTCGATTGATCCTCTGCAGCAGGACCCCCCGGATGACATCCTCATAAATACCCTCAATGGTCAGAGCAGGGCTGCCCACAGCAAGGACGTCCCCTTCGAACTCAGGCAGCTCCTGTAACCGAGGCAGGTGAGGGGCTGGGCTGGAGGGGTGGGCTATGTGTGACATGGGTTTGAGCCCCAGCTCTGTCACTGATTAGCTAGGGAAAGCTGGGCCTCAGTTTCCTCATCTTTAAAATGGACTCCTTGACTCATTATTCCCTCGGGTTGTTGTGAGAATTGGTGAAACAAAGCACATCACACCTCAATGGGAATAATACAGGTGTTTCCGCTGGGACCCCTCACAGCCACTTCCTGCCTGACCCCTGATGCAGACCCCTTCGTGGTGCCCCTAAGCCTGTGTAGCAAGGCCCCTGTGACCTCTCCCCTCGTCTACTTCCTACCCCCTTGTTTGCTAAGCTCCAGCCACACTTGCCTCTTCTCTGTTTCTCCAACACACCAGGCACAGACCTACCTCAGGACTTTTGCACATGCTGTACCCTCTGCCTGGAATACCCTTCCCCAGGACATGGCTCATGCCTTTAGTTCACTGCTTCTCAAGCATCATCTTCTCAGAGAGAGCCCCCCTAACCACTAAGCACCCTCACCATACACACACATACACTCCACCTCTGCCTCGTCCCTTCTCTGAAGCCTGTATCACCTGCTGATATGTGATGCATGGGACCCCACGCCAGCTCTGCAGACACAGCACTGTCATGGGAGACGCAGAGGGCATCATGAAGTCCCGGAAGAGCCATCCAACCCAGCCCCTGGGCTCAGGGAACAAAAGTCTCTAACCATCAATGGTGGCTCTGTGAGCCTCACAGAAAGATGCTTTGTTGTTCTATAGGACCCGTCCCCCATCAGCTCACCGCTTTGCAGCTCAGCTCCAGCTGGCTCAACACGAAGGGCAAGAATATGCAGAGCAGCCAGCCATGGATGAACCGCCTCTGCGCTGAGCCACTATCCGACTTGAATTTCTGCATGACACACATGGCAACTGGTTTCACAACCACCTGAGCACCCAAGCCCACTGCCATGCCCTCCCCACAGACCTCACCTTCAGCACGCGCCCCCTGACTTTCTCCAGCTGCTGGGCAGCCTGGTCACAGTCCAGAGCCGTGGTCAGACATTGGTCAGCCAGCTGCAGGAAGGTGGCCACGGCATCAGCCATGAGCTGTGGGAAGAGATGCTGGGATGAACCCTGGGAAGCCATGCTCTTTCTGGGCCCTACGCCTGCTCGGTTGAACCCTTCTCAGCATCCAGCCTGCCCTGACCAGCTACATCCCTCCAACCTCCTTCTTGTCCCAAGAAACAGCACTCTCTTCCTCTCAGGACTTGGGGCTCATCCACTCAGTGCCAGGATGCCCAGCATGGGGATCAGAGAGCTGTCCATAGTCCAGGCTCCTTGGCTGAGCACCCTTGTGCAGTATACAAACTGAACAACCGTGCCAGGCAGCACTGGGTCTTCTCGATCCCTGTCTCTTTCACTCACCATGTCCATTAGCACGTCCCAACCCCCTGGCTTTCAAAACACACCCTGCTCCTCTCCACCAACCCATTCTGGTTCAGACCTCCTCCCTGCCTCCTCCACTTCTGCCCCCGACAGCCCCTGCTCCCCAGGGCAGGCAGGGCTTTCTAAAAAACCTTGAATCTGGCCATGCCCCTCCCCTGCTCACACACCTGCTGTGACTCCTGTTTCCCTTGGACAGAGCCCAGCCCCCTAAGCCCCATACTCAAGGCCCTGACCCATCTGCCCCCCCACCTCGCTGGCATATCTCCCACATCTATGCCCTCCCTTGAAATCTACAAGCCAATGTCTCTAAATTGCTTCACTTTCCCCAAATGTGGACGCGCTCTCACACCTCCCAGGGCTTATCGACACTGTTCCCTCCACCCAGGACATGCCCCATTCCCATTCCTCCCCCAGCTGCCCCAGCCTGGCAGTCCTCTCCTCCTGGAAGCCTTCCCAACCCTGGAGATGGATCAGGTGCCTCCTCAGGGTTCCCGTAGCACCTTGTGTGTCCCCATCACAGCCCTGTCCATCATGTGTGATTGCTGCCTGCCTGGTCACGAGCTCATGTCTGCATGACACTGGGAGTCCAGCGAGGGAGGGCCAGTTCTGTCTGGGTCATCGTGGTCTCCCTGGCACACACTCGGCACCTACTCATTGGAGGCTGCCATCCTTGCCTCGCTTCCTCCCAGCCTCCCACTCACCCTTACCTGCTGTGCGAGATCCTGGGCCCCAAACACCAGGCTCTGTGTTCCAAAGAAGCCAAATGGTTCTGCCAGCTGCCCCAGGCGCCCCCGGCTCCGCTCTGCCTCTCGGTAGCAGGTCTGCATCAGCTCTGGGTCCCATGGCATCTCCCCAAATGAGTAAACCTGTGTTCCCATAGCAGTCAGGTAAGAAAAATACCACCAGCCAATGGAAGAGCAAGGCTAAGGACCTCATAGACAGCTCATCGAAGGAGAAACACAAATGGAAACACATCCCGCCTCAGTTGTCACCAAAATAATGCATAATAAAGGTAACTGTGAGGTATGGTGTGACGGACATAAAATGGTAAAACTTGAAACAAATGATTACATGTGGTGCTGGCATGGCTGAGGGGAAATGGGCACACTCAGCCCTTGTCCCACCTGATGTTCTCTTTGTGCTGGATCCTGTGGCTGCAGAAGTGCAATAATCCAAAGTGGTATTTGCCCTCAAACTGCTCACAGAAAAGTTGGGGGAGACAAGAGTGTAGACAAACAACAGTAGTGGTGTGTTAATCCTTCTGTGAGGAGGGAAGCACGTGCAGCTGCAGATGCAGAAAGGACCAGGGAAAGTTCCTGGAGGAGGTGATTATGAAATGGAGATGTGAAGATTAACAAGGGGAAACCTCATTTAAAATAAAGTCATGGGAGTTCCCTGATGGTCGAGTGGTTAGGATTCGGAGCTCTCACTGCGGTGGCCCAGGTTCAATCCCTGGCCGGGGAACTGAGATCCCGCAAGTTGCGTGGCTAAATAAATAAATAAATAAAAATGAAATCATTAAGCCCTGAACGGGTGGGGGGGCTCTCGTGCACTGCCACTCCTTGCCCTCTGCAGACCCCAAACTGGAAGAAGGTTACTACTTTACCACTCCAGCAGGAGGAAGATTTTCTCCTTATGCAGTAACAGCCCCAACCAATGAGAAACTACCACCACTCAGCCAATGAGAAATTGTCACCACCCCGAACTCTCGCTCTCCTCCAATGGACTTCCCTTCAAAGCTGCCCCTCCCAATTTTCTCCTTCTTCTCTATAAAGTCATGTTCCTCCCCTTTGTTTGCCAGACTTGCCTCTGGTTTTGCCATAGCTTGCATGTCCCGAATTGCAATTCTCATGCTGCCCTCCCTTCCCAAAATGTTCTGCTGATAAAATAACCGGCTGTTTCATTTGAAAGGTCAACAGACACTTAACGAGTTGAAGGTTTCCTGGCACATAGTATGCTCTCATTTAACATCAGAAGAAAAGAGCTGACCTGCGTGTTGTAGAATTCTGTCCCAGGGAATGGGGTGGGCTGTGGCCAAACAGGGCAATGGGAGGAGGAACAATTTGTGGGGAAGGTGACTCCAGACTGATGTTACTAAAATGCTAATCTTGTCATCTTACTCCTTCCCCCCATGTTATAAACCGTGCCCCAGTGACCATAGCATAGTGGACCACCGTAAGTAAAATGCAGCTTAGAAGAAAGTTCAGAAATTTTTAAGAGAAGGTTTTCAAACAAGAAAGATTCAAGGTTCACGCAACTCTTCTATAAAGTTAACACACTGCCCATAGGCCCGATGAAACACGACCCACTGGACCTCACCTCCTTCCGCAGCCGCGTGCTGGAGGGGCTCCCACGCAGGTGGCGGGACAGGCGGTCCATGCCCTGGGTTAGGAGGGTCTGCACTGCCGTGAGTTCAGCTTCCACGGTGCTCAGCAGCGTCTGCGTGACCCGGGGCAGCTGCGCATCCACCTTCCTGCGCAGGCACGACTCGAGGGGACCCTGGACGTTGGCTGCGAGTGGAAGACACTGGCCTGGATCTCCTCCTCGAGGTGCTCCACAAATTGGGAGGCGGGGGGTACGGAGTGAGGCCATGGGCTCAACAGGGTGAGGTAGACGGGAGCCCTGACTTTGAGCCCCCTCCTCTATCCCATTATACAGAATAGAAAAATGAGGCCAAGTGCGATGGGGATCGGCTCAAAGTTGCACACAGAGGCAGAGTTAAGATTCCACTCTGTTCTCTTTGTTACTGAGCTGAGTGAGAGCTATCTCCGCTGTCTGACTGGACAACCCACAACTGGAGTCAGGCCTGATACCGCCAACGCCTCTGCCCCTCTCCCCACCCGGTCTTGGTCTCCGGGCTCACCAGCTCCATCCCTGGCCTTCCCCGCCTCCCAAGCACCCGCCCTCCCTCTTGACCCCGTCTAGAGACTTAGTCTCACCACCAAAGCATCAAGGCCTCGCCCATTTTCCCACTTAGGCTCCACCCTTTTCTTTTCCGGCCCTGCCTCCACCGGGTCCCAGACCTTGGACCCCTTCCCTTACACCAAAGCTGTTCCCCTTCTTCCTCTCAGGCTCCCGGCCCCGCCCCTCACATCCAGGCCACGCCCCCGGACCTCACCCTGCAGCCTCCCTATCACGTGCTCCCGCAACTTCAGCATCTGATCTACTTCTGGCCGGATAGTCTTCTCCAGGGCGGCGAGCAGCTCCTCCTTTTCGGGCTGGAAGGCGCGGAGCCCAGTGGAGGCCCCGGCCAGTACTGCAGCGTGGACGGCGTCCAGTAGCTGCCCAGATCAGCCGAGGGGACCCCACACGGGCCAGGGGCGCGGTAGAGAGACGAGATGGGGCAAAGGGTAGGAGGACAGAGAGAAGACAGACGCACAGAGATGGGCGGAGAGGTTGGGCGACAGTCGCAGAGAGGGCGAAGCTGAGCACCCGGGTCCGGCTCCTATCCCCATCCGCGGCCTCCCGCGTGTCCCTGCCCCACCTTGGCCCACGCCCAGGCGCGAGCGCGGCCGGTCCCCCGCAGGCCGGGCAGGGTCTGGGCTCGCAGCGCAGGCAGCAGCTCCCGCATCAGTACCGCAGTCAGCACCTGCGGGAGAGGTGACCATGGGTGCTTCGGTGGGCCGAGAAGGGGTCAGGGGTGTCCCGGGTGCGGCCTGGCGCGGCACTGACCTCGGCGTCCGAGCCTAGGGTCACGTCGTCGTCGCCAAAGTGGCCTTGCTGCTGCCGGTAGAGCCGTATGGCGTCCAGGAAGGCACGGGCGGCTGGGGCTTGACTTCGCTGCAGGACTGAGAGGCGGCTCCTCAGTGCCTGCCCACCCCTCCCCTGCTCTCAGGCTGCCTGGCTCCCCGTCGCCTGAGAAGGAAGCCCTCCGCCTCCTCGCCAGGTCCCAAACAGCTAAGTCTCACCCACTTCCAGACCTCTGCGCAAAGAAGTGCCCTCCGCCGGGAACACGCTCCCCTAAGCTTATCACCAGCCCATAAGGGGCCTGTATACCATTTTGGAAAAGGCATCCCCTGCAGGCAGTCACAGCCCAGATCCCACTGCAGTCTCCAGTTGCCTCTCCAGTTAGGTACATTTGTTCAGTCAACAACCTGCCCAGATGTGTCAGTCCTAATTCCTCTTCTTCACGCGGCTGGCCCCTCATCTTTTTTAGACCCCAGTTTGGACATCCCCTCCCTGATTCCCCAGGCTAAGCTCCCACGGTGCTGTGCCCTCATTACAGCCCGGGCCATGCACAACTGCCTGTTTCCCCTCTGTCCTCCCCCACGATCCATTTTATAAATAAGGAAACTGAGGCTTGGAGAGGATCCCACAGCCAGCAGGAGCGGAACCATCCGACTCCAGACTCTGTGCTCCACCACTGCCTGCCCTTTTCCAGGACCCACCTGTGCCTCGAAGCCGGATGCCGCCCTGCAGGGCTAGCCTCCAGGCACGCTGCACCTCCGCTGTGGCTGCAGAGAAACAGAGGTGCCGGCGGAAGGGGTGCTGCAGGAACAGGGGGAAACTAACAGGCATTTCCAAGAGGGGGTCAGGCTCTTCCTGTGTATGGTGTCCTGAAAGAAGAGGAGGTCACATCTTCATTCATTCATTCACTCTAAAATCATTCATTCACTAGGAGACAATAACCATGAAATATGTAGAGAACCCTTACTTCAGCTCAGTCCCAGGAGGAGGTGTGCCCAGGGCAGACATCAGTAATCCATCCCAGCACTGTTTCCCAGCCTCAGCAACATGCTTAACACAGCAGCCCTAGGCAGCCACCAACAATCTCTCCTAGCTGGCATGTGGTCTGAGCCCTGCTTGCTGTGGGGTGCTGGAGTCGGCTAGGCCCTGGTTCAAACCTGGCCAGACCATTTTCTAGCTCTTTGCACAGATTTTCATCTCCCTGAAAAAAACCTCAGTTTTCCTACCTGCAAAATGGGCTAAAAAGTGATACCAATGACCTAGAACTGTTGGGAGGGCAAAAATGAGTGAATTTATTTTGATGAATTAAATCGGAGTCTCCCAAATCCTCAGTGTTTTGTTCAGATTTCCAGAGTGATACATACAGACTGCAGTAAAATGCAGTAATGCAGAAAGGGTCCCTGGTGGCACAGATTTTCATCTCCCTGAAAAAAACCTCAGTTTTCCTACCTGCAAAATGGGCTAAAAAGTGATACCAATGACCTAGAACTGTTGGGAGGGCAAAAATGAGTGAATTTATTTTGATGAATTAAATCGGAGTCTCCCAAATCCTCAGTGTTTTGTTCAGATTTCCAGAGTGATACATACAGACTGCAGTAAAATGCAGTAATGCAGAAAGGGCTTCCCTGGTGGTACAGTGGTTAAGAATCCGCCTGCCAATGCAGGGGACACGGGTTCGAGCTCTGGTCCGGGAAGATCCCACATGCCGCGGAGCAACAAAGCCCATGCGCCACAACTACTGAGCCTGCGCTCTAGAACTACTGAGCCCACGTGCCACAATTACTGAAGCTCGCGCGCCTAGAGCCCGCACACCGCAACAAAGAGCAGACCCCGCTCGCCGCACCTAGAGAAAGCCTGCACAAAGCAACGAAGACCCAATGCAGCCAAAATAAATTTAGAAATAACAATAATGCAGAAAAAGGTGGACGTCCCTTGTCATCCAGCCCTTCGATCGCAGCCCCCAGAGATGATAATAGCTGTTAACAGTTTGGGGGACATTATTCCAGATTTTTAAATCTGCACAAAGCTGTATGGGGTGCTTTTTTTTTTTTAACAATGTGGAGTTTTCTGGTTTATAACTGGCCTTTTGGCTCCTGCATATGTCTGGGACACCTCCAGAGGCTGCACAGCTTTCCTTCCTGAGGGTCAGGCTGTAATTTATTTAATCAACCCCCAAGGATGCGTATTTGGGTGGATTCCCATGTTTTCGACATCATCAACATTTCTGCAGACGGTTCTTGTTGCTACATCTTCGCATGATTAAACAGCAGGATAGCTCTGCAGTGAAGCAAAAGGTGTAATTCTGGCTCTGTCCCTTACTAACTGTGTGACAGTCCTTGGCCTCAGTGTCCCCCTCTGTAAAATGGGGTGGTTAGTGATGGGGCTGCCTCCTGGGCAGATTCAATGAGATGATGCAGGCCCTCATCAGATGCATGCCAGCCCACTTATGCTGCTCCTTACCTATTCAGAGAGAGAAAGAGGAGGAAGAGGAAGGGGAGGAAGGGGAAGGGAAGAGAACCATCCTGGAAACACTGGACTGACCAATTACACGCTGTAACAAGTCTGTGCAATTTTCCTGCCCACCACTGTCCATCTCCCCACATGCTTACTGACACCATATTTTATCGTTTTTACCCTTTGCTGCTTTGACTCTGGTCCGGTGACCTAACTCCTTCACCCTGACAAGAATGGGTGTTTCTCTTTCTAGAGCGAGGCTGCTCACCCAGAGGCAATGCTGCCCCCAGGCACACTTGGCAATGTCTGGAGATATACTTGGTTGTCGCTCTTGGGATGCAGAATGCTACTGGCATCTGGTGGGTGGAGGCAAGGGATACTGTTCAGCATCCTGTGAAGCACGTGGTGGCCCCCACCGCAAAGAATGATCTGGCCCCAGTGTCAACAGTGCGGAAGTAGAGAAACCTGCTCTTGGGGTCCCCGGGAGCCTTACCTGAGGGTTCTGGGCAGAGAGTGTCCAACAGGTGGAGATATTCACTCTGGGAAGTCAGGACTGTGTACCCTGTCAGGACCATGGAGCCCAGGGGACGGTCTCCATTTTCATATTCCTGCAAAAGGCATCCAAAGAACCGTTTTGGGACAGGTCTAAACTGTGGCTTCCATATCCCAGTGTGGGATCAGGGGAAGGTTTTGGGTTAACTGGGGAAATCCTCCACCCTACCTCCTTGCCTCCACCCTCCCTCCTTCTATCCACCCCCTCCCTCAATCCCTCCTTCCTTCCCTTCCCCATAGTGGAGCACCCAGCACCTGCTGTGCGCTAGGCCAGTCCCAAGTGCTATATGAGGACTAACCCATTGAATCCTTACAGCCCCATGTGGCGTAGACCATCATCATCCCGTTTCACAGAGGCGAAAACTGAATCCCAGGGAGACAAGTGACCTGCCTGAATTCCCCAGCTGGAAAGCAGGGCACAGGCGGCATATGCAAAGGCCTTGCATGGTTTCAACCTCAGCTCTGCTGATGACCATGAGTGAGCCCCTACCCCTGGCCTGGGCCTCAGTTTATCCACCTGGCACAGCAGGAGATGTTCGCCCACCCAGGGCCAAGCTTACAGGTTGGCCCTTCTTGATGATTGAAGAAAGGAGGGGGGCTATGCTGGGAACTGGACCCCAAACCCACACTGGGGAGGGTAGGATGGAGACGCCAGAGGTAGATGGGCTGCAGGCCACTCACTCACCTCCCTGTGCCTGAACCACTCCAGGCGGCCGTCCCCACGCAGGACACAGAAGATTGGCTGCCACTGAGGTGGGTGGCCCTGCAGCTGGGTCAGGGGCCCTCGGTGCTCCCGGACTCGGGGCAGCTTCTGTGGGAAGAGGGGCGGGCGGATGTCAAGAACATGGGCCAGTGTCCCGGTGTCCAGACCATCTGGACAGCTCCTCCTGTGTCCCGGGTGCCACCAAGTACAGTAAGTCCCCTACATACGAATGAGTTCTGTTCCAAGAGCGAGTTTGTAAGTCCAGTTTGTTCATAAGTCCAACAAAGTTAGCCTAGGTATCCAACTAACACCATCGGCTATATAGTGCTGGACTGTAATAGGTTTATAATACTTTTCATACAAATAATACATAAAAAACAAACACAAAAAAAATAAATAAAACTTTTTTAATCTTACAGTACAGTCCCTTGAAAAGTACAGTAGTCCAGTACAACAGCTGGCATACGGGGGCTGGCATCGAGTGAACAGGCAAGAAGAGTGACTGACTGGAGGAGGGAGAGGAGGTGGGAGATGGTAGAGCTGAAGGATCGTCAGCAACAGGAGACGGAGGGCAAGCTGCAGTTTCCCTCATGCCTGACGCTGATGGAACGCCCGTTCACATCTTTGAAAGTTTGCAACTTGAAGGTTCATATGTAGGGGACTTACTGTACAGGTGCTTGGGCACTGCTGGTGTGGTGTTATATTCTTTATCAAGCACGTTCACAGCCTGCACTTCCAAAGATGAACTGAGGCAGACACTTTTGTTATCTCCAATTTACTTGCAAGCGGACCCTTCCCCAGTTGAGCCTCAGATGAGACCCCAGCCCTGGCCAACATCTTGATTGCAGCCTGTGAGAGACCCTGAAAGAAAGGACCCAGCAAAGCCCCATCTAGATTCCTGACCCACAGTAACTGAGATGACAAACGTGTTGTTTGAAGCACTGATTTGGTGGTGTATTTTTACACAGCATAGCTAACTGAAACAGGTGGGATTGCTAGGTCGTGGAGCAGGTGTAGTTTTTTTTTTTTTTCAGGTGTAGTTTAACGTTATGAGAAATGGCCAGGCCTCTGCCCACAGACCCCTCCCTCAGGCAGGATGGGACATCACCTTGTTTGGTTTTCTTTGTCCCTCCTCTCACTTCCTGGCCACCTGAATTGTGCGTTTGTTTCACCAATGGTCCCAGAGTAGCTCCTGCTACACAGTTGGTGCTCGGTAAATATTTGATGACTAAATAAACAGCATTTGTGATGTTTTGATTCTTCAGCGGGTAGTGGGAACTCAGAGGTTTATTAAATGATTCTCCATCTCTCTTCCTAAGTCTGAGATTTTTCATAGTAATAGTGTTAAAATGTTATAATAGAAATGATATACATAATGCAAATAGATAAAACTAGTATTAAAGAAAATGTTTCAACTGAAGCGAGGGGAAATCCCTCCACACTGCTTGAACCCCAACGTCAGCTGTTCCCTAGCCCAGGGGGTTGGGACCAGCAGGAGGCAGAAGGTGCAGGTGGGGGCGATGCCCAGGCCCCATGATGCCCCAAGCAGGACAGGGGGAGTCCCAGGTGGCAGGGTCTCTGTCCATGGTGTCACAGAGCCCCCACCCCAGGGCAGGCACAGCTGGGAGAAGGGGTGTCCAAGAGAGGAAATCTCAGAGCCCTGATCGGGACAGGGGACCCAGTATACCTTGCAAGGAGTATGGGCTCCGGGTTCAAATCTCGCCTCTGCATCTTGCTGGCAGTGTGACCTCAGTCAGGTCACTTCACCTCTCTGTGCCTTGGTTTCCTCATTGGTCAAAGACCCATCCCCTGGGCTAGTGAGAACTAAGTTGTACAGGGCACATGGAGATCCTGGACACCATTTGCCAGCTCAGGAGACCTTTGGAGCTGGGGCTGGGCAGCTCCAGCCTATCTTGTTCCATCGATAAGTCCTTCCTGAGCCCCTACTAAGTGAAGGCACCATGTGGGCACAATGGGGTCAGAGGGAGGGGGAAATAAGGCTTGGACCCTGTCCTCACAAAGCAGACAAATGGAGGTGGCAGACGTGTGAGCCCGGGCTGCGTCGGAGAAGAAGACAGACAGGGGTTCCAGAGGAGGTGCCCGACTCAGGTGGGGGTAAGAGTAGTCAAGGAAGGCTTCTTGAAAGAAGTTGCAGACGAAGTATGGGATAGAATGGGGAGGGTGGCACATGCAGAGGCTTGGGCGTCCAGTGGGCATGCTGTGCCCTTGGGTGATGCACTCAGCCAGGCCACACCTTTTGCAACTTCAGGGCTTTTGCATTGCCTGTGCCCTCTGCCTAGAATGCCCTTCCCACTCTGGGCTTCAGGTCTGGCTCCTTCTCATGCTTTACGTCTCAGCTCAGAAGGACCTTCCTACACCCCAGCTTCCAGCTCCCGACACCACCCTTCATTTTGTCTTCCTAGCACCTATCAGAAGTTATCCTGCATCGTGATATGTTAACTTGACAACAAACTGGTCATTTCCCCCAATTAGACTGTGAGCCCCGGAGGGCAAAGCGGGATCTGTCTCAGTCACTACTGTGTCCCCAGCATCCAGCCAGGGGTGTGGTACGCGGTAAATGCCCAGTGAATGTTTGCTCGAAGAATGAATTTTGGAGACATCCCTGGTGGTCCAGTAGTTAAGACTCCACACTTCCACTGCAGGGGGTGCGGGTTTGATCCCTGGTCAGGGAACTAAGATCCTGCATGCCACGCAGCATGGCCAAAAAACAAATGAATTAAAAAAATTTTTTTAAGCATTTATTATTATTTTATATATTATATATTTATTTATTTGGTTGCGCCGGGTCTTAGTTGTGGCAGGCGGGCTCCTTAGTTGTAGCGTGCATATGGGATCTAGTTCCCTGGCCAGGGATCGAACCCGGGCCCCCTGCATTGGGAGCTTGGAGTCTTAACCACTGCAACACTAGGGAATTCCCAGAATGAATTTTTAATAGTCACCCCAGATCGTGGCACCAGCAAGGACAAAGGTGTGAGGAGGGACCCTCAAACGAACGAACGGCCTCCCCAGCCTCGCCCACTCAGCACCCCCTCCCCCTTTGCAGCACCCACTTTGCTGTGCAGCAGCTGGCATCCGGCTGGCTCCTGGGGGCCCAGCTCTCGGGAGATCTGCCACAGGACCGAGGCTGCCAGCTGCCCGCGGTAGCAGGGCAGGAAGTTCCTCAGCAAGGTGTCTACCTGGCCTGCAGAGACAAGAGGTTGGTGAAGTGGCTGAATCAGGTCCCCCCCAACCTGCCGGAGGTGGGGGCAGAACAGTCAGAGAAGCCACTTACGGATTCCTATCCGCACCCCAAAGTTGCCCCAGAAGACACGCTCCAATTCCATTCACCCTTAACCCTCCATTGCCTGTTTTTATCCACATGGGGGTTGGTGGGGGGCGGGGGAGTTAAAGGATTCAGGCTTAATTTATAAACGATGTACAACACACCTTAAATGTATAAAGCATAGAAATGAATGAGTTTGACACATGTACACACCATCACCGTGACCCAGATAAAGAACAGATCAATTGTACCTGAAAGTTTCCTTGTGCCCCTTACCAGGGGACATTTTCAAAATCTTATAAAAACCTCACCCAGCACAAGGGAACTTTCTGGGGTGATAGAAGTATTCTGTATCCTGATCTAGGAGGTGATTACACAAGTGTTAAAGTTCTTCAAGCTGTTCCCCTAATATGTGTGCACTTGACTGTGTGTAAGCCACATCTATCTTGCTGCCTGGAATGTGGATCCGATGACTGGAGCTTCAGCAGCCATTCTGAGTCATGAGGTGACCTCAGGCACAGAAGCCACACATGTTAGAACCATAATATGGAAGGGGTTGGGTTGTCTGACTTTTATCAGGCTGCCTGCCACTGTTCCCCTCTATAGGAGAGAGAAACAAATCTTTATCTCGTTTAAGCCACTACAGAAAAAAAAAAATTCCAACACTTTGCAGAGTAGCTTATTGAATCCATTCATGTAATGACAACTTGGCCTTGTTTCTTAGTCTAGATCATGAGCCCCCGCTCCATATCCCCAGTGCCCAGCACACCGTAAGTGCTCAACTGTGTGTGTGGAGGATGGAGGACACTGGACCTTCTTTGTCTCAAATCAAGAACTGTGACTTAGTCCCTGGGGTCCACACTGAGGGGCCTACTCGTCCTTGCCCACCTGGGAGGATCATCCCACAAGATCTGGCTGGGCTTGGGGCACTTCCCCCCTGGCCCTATGCCCTCCACCCCAAACCCATGCCCTGAGTAGGTTTACCAGATTTACCAAATAAAAGTACATGACGCCAATTAAATTTGAATTTCAGGTAAATAACGAATACATTTTTAGCATACGTATGCCCTCATGCAAAATTTGGGACATACTTATAATAAAAAAAGTACTCATTGCCTCTCTAGAATTCACATTAATAGGGCATCCTGTGTACCTGACAACTCAGCCCTAAAGCCCACCTGCCAAAATCTGGCTCCTTCCCAGTCCACTCACCCCTCAGGTGCTGCTGTTGTCGCTTGTCCAAGGGGCTCGAGGGCCGCCCACCCATCCTGCTACTGTGTCCTGGGCTCCCCTGAAAGTGAAGCAAACACCCCCCTCCTCCCCACAACCCCCCAGTTCCTCAGCTCAGGGGCACCCTGGGAGCAAGGTGACCTGAGGGGCCTGGATGCTGCGGAGACCAGTGCCTGGGGTCAGAAGCCAGAGCATGGTCCTGGTGTGGTGTGGGATGCCTGCTCCCCACCCCACCCCGCCCCCTGCCCCGCCCCCCCCCCCCCCCACTCAGCAGCTCTCTGCTGGATGGATAGGTGGATGGTCCGGGAGCCCATCCCACTCCCACTGGGGAACTTGAGAAGGACGGGTCTCTCTCCCTCCCCTTGCATGGTCTTGGCAGACCTGACATCCTTCCGCCAAATTCCCTTTCTGTTTAAAATAACCAGTCAGTTTCTGCTGCTCGCAGACGGGAGGTTGGTAACTGATACAGCCAGGTGAAGCCCCTGCACCTGTGTCCTGCCAGTTCCCCTGTGGCCAAGTTCCCTAAACTGGTGGTTTCTGTAGGGGCTGCCCCGGTTTGGGGTGGGGGGGCGCAGGGTGGTGGGAGACAAAAGTCCTAGCTGGCCTTGGAGGACAGATGCAGGGCAGATATCTGGCAGGACCTGAGAGCAGTTGGTGTGGGGTGGCAGGGAAGGGGGGCTGGGCAGAAATGGGGCAGCTAAATCCTGTACCTACCCCTTGCCGGGTAACTCTGGATCCCAAGAGGATCCAGCCCAGGCCCAGCACCAGGCTGGGAAGACAGAAGTGGACTGACACCCCGGGCCCCTGGGGTCAGTGCTGGGGTAGTGGGAGCCGGTGGGGAGCCACTGCTGTGCCGTGGACTCATGGGCTGTTTCCCTTTGGTTCCTGCTTTGCCAGTCCATTCTCTATCGGCGCATAAAGCCCTAGACTGGATCGGATTAGTTGGGTCTTCCCACTAATGGCACCTGCTGTTGCCCAAGCACGGCCAGGCTGCTTTCCTTCCAACCCTCTACTCTGCTTCTCTCAATCTGTTTCCGCTCAGCCCCGTCCCACTTCCTCACTCTCAACATCTTGAGTGATCAACCCAGACAAGACGTTGAAGGAAACTTCACTTTCTGTGGTTTCAGCTTTAAGGTTTCAATTCCCACATGCCTCTCCCACCAGCCTCCCCTGGTCCCTGGAGCCAGGCAGAGTTGATGGGTAGGACATGAGCAGACGCACTCTGGGCCAGTGCTGCAGTCCTGATGCGAAGCAGCAGCATCTCGGAGCATTCAAGGCTCTGAGCAGGACTGCAGCATGGCCACGTGCAGAGGTCACGACTGGCCCTGGGTGTGCAACGGGAACTCGGCCAAGTGAGTGGGCAGGGGATTGAACTGTGTCCCCCAAAAGGATATGTCCACACAAAAAAAACAGGAACAGGGGCTTCCCTGGTGGCACAGTGGTTGAGAGTCCGCCTGCCAACGCAGGGGACGCGGGTTCGTGCCCCGGTCTGGGAAGATCCCACATGCCGCGGAGCGGCTGGGCCCATGAGCCATGGCCGCTGAGCCTGCGCGTCCGGAGCCTGTGCTCTGCAACGGGAGAGGCCGCAGCAGTGAGAGGCCCGCGTACCGCAAAAACCAAACAAAAACAAACAAAGAAAACAAGTGTTAGCGAGGATGAGGAGGCATTGGAACCCTTGGGCACTGTTGATGGGAATGTAAAATGATACAACTGCTGTGGAAAACAGTATGGAGGCTCCTCTGAAAATTAAAAATAGAACTACCATATGCGTTATGACCCAGCAATTCCACTTCTGGACGTATATCCAAAAGAACTGAAAGTAGGCTCTCGAAGAGATATTCATCCACCCATGTTCACAGAAGCATTATTTACAATAGCTAAAACACAGAAGCAACCCAAGTGTCCACTGACCAGTGAGTGGATAAGTAAAATGTGGTATATCATATCTTAAAGAGGAAGGAAGTTCACACACGCTACAACATGGATGAACCTGGAGGACATTATGCAGAGTGAAATAAGCCCGTCACAAAAAGGCAAATACTGTATGATCCCAATTACACGAGGCACTTAATAGTAGTGAAAATCATAGAGACAGAAAATATTATGGTGGTTGCCAGGGCCGGGGAGAGGGGAGAATGGGGAGTTAGTGTTTAATAAGTACAGAGTTTCAGATTTACAAGATGAAAAGAGTTATGGGGACGGATGATGGTAATGGCTGCTTAAAACTGTAAATGTATTTAATACCACTGAACTGTATACTTAAAAATGGTTAAGATGGTAAATTTTATGTGTATTTTAACACAGTTTAAAAAAAAGAATATGTCCACATCCTAACCCCTGGAACCTCAGAATGTGATCTTACTCGGAACAGACATCTTTACAGACAAAATGAGTTAAGGATCTTGAGATGAGCTCATCCTGGATTTAGGGTGGTCCTATATCCAATGACAGGTGTCCTTATTAGAAGAGGACAGGAGGGAGGGCTTCCCTGGTGGCGCAGTGGTTAAGAATCCACCTGACAATGCAGGGGGACACGGGTTCGATCCCTGGTCCAGGAAGATCCCACATGCCACAGAGTAACTAAGCCTGCAAGCCACAACTACTGAGCCTGCGCACCACAACTACTGAAGCCTGCACGCCTAGAGCCCATGCTCTGCAAAAAGAGAAGCCACTGCAATGAGAAGCCCACGCACCCCAACAAAGAGTAGGCCCCGCTCGCCACAACTAGAGAAAGCCCATGCACAGCAACGAAGACCTAATGCAGCCAAAAATAAATGATAATAAATAAAATAAATATTTTTAAAAATCTTATCTATAAAAAAAAAAGAAGAGGACAAGAGGGAGTTCCCTGGTGGCCTGGTGGTTAGGATTCTGGGCTTCTACTGCTGTGGCCCGGGTTCAATCCCTGCTCTGGGAGATCTCTGAGATCCTGCAAGTCAAGTGGCATGGCCAAGAAAACAAACAAACAAACAAACAAAAAAACAAGACAAAAATAAAAAAGGAGGACAGGACACAGAGAAACACACAAAGAGAAGGCCATGTGACAACAGAGGCAGAGATGAGTGATGTGCCTACAAGCTAAGGAAGGCCAAGAATTGCCAGCAGCTACCAGGAGAGAGACCTGGGATAGATTCTCCTGCAGAGCCTCCAGAAGGATGTAACCTTCCCGACACCTTGATTTTAGACTCCTGGCCTCATGAACTGTGAGACAATAAATTTCAGTTGTTTGAAGCCACCTGGTTTGTGGTACTCTGCTATGGCAGCCCCAGGACACTCATCCAGGGTGCCCTTCCCTGCCCTCCATGTGCTGGGATGAGGGCTGCAGATCAGGCCCTCCACCCGGGGATCAACAGTCCCACTGCCCACCAAGGACCACGAGACAGCGGAGACTTCAAAGAGATGTTCCTTTTAATAACTGAGTCACCCAGAGCCATGGCCCATGGGCTGAGCCCCTGGGCAGGGCTGGTGGCCAGACCCTATCGGCTTCCTAGTGGCACCACTCGGCTTTTCTAAAATGAAGCCTGGAGTGGGCTGGCAGCGGGGCCCAGACTGGGAAGATCCCAGCCCACTCGGGCTGTGCGTGGTCCCAGCTGTAGCATCTCGGCACCAGTTACAAAGTGGAATGCTTCTCGAAGGGCACGGTCAGGAGTCGGGCTGCTGCCTCATCCAGGAACCAGCAAAGTTTCCCAGTGCGGGGCTGGACCAGGGCGGCGGGGAGCGGATTTTCCTCCTTGTCCTCCAAAATGCGCTGTGTGGAGAGGGCAGGAGCATGGGGCCCTGCCCACACCCCAGCACCCTTGGACCTCTCCTACCCTCAAGAGGTGATATCACCCATCCCAGATGTCCTAGCTTCAAGCAATCAGGAGGGATGGGGTCTCTTCCTTTTTATCATGTGACTGTTTAATATGGGGGTTAGCACACCTCTTCTACAAAGACCAGAGAGTCACTGTTTCGGCTCTGCAGATCACACCCCACCTCTGTTGCAACTACTCAGCTCTGCTGTTACAGGGCAAAAGCAGCTTTCTAAAGTGCTTGATTGCTTTATTTCAATCGTTTTCTATTTAACAACTAAATATATATGTAAATGCATTAAGTGCTACGAATTTACCTCTAAGCAGTTTTGGCCTCATCTCATCCATTTCATTTCATAATCGTTAACTCCTAACTAGCCTGTATTTGCAGTTTTCATCTCCTCTTCAACCCAAGAATTACTGAAATATCCTGGGATCTGGTGCTTTCAGCACAGTAGTGTCTAGGGCCATATTCTATACCTACAACCTTCTTGGGAAGGGGGCCCTCAGCTGTTACCTTCAGAACGGCTGCCTTGCCTTCTCCAGTTGCCACAAAGATGATAGTTCGAGCTGCGTTCAGCACGGGAAGTGTGAGGGTCACGCGCTGTGGAGGTGGCTTTGGGGAGTCGCTGATGGGGGCCACAATCTTCTCCCGCTCCTGGGGAGGGAGGCCCAAGGTAGAGACAGGAGGACAATGTCACTTGACCTCTTGAGTACTCACACATGCCAAGCATTGTCCATCTATCGTTCCATCCCGCCCTGCTAATCCTGTGGTACTTGATTTAAGGTTCCTGTTTTAAGATGGGTGAACTGAGGCTCAAAAGGGTCAAGCCCAGAGGGCATGCCTGTTGGCAGAGGCTGACCACACCAGGCTGTAGGCACCTTCCAGTGCTCTGGAAGCCCCAGATGGCAGAGGCTGGGGCTCAGACATGAGCAGGACCTTCGTGGGTGTGCTCACCTGCAGGAGGGGGTGGTCTGGGAAGAGTGAGCAGGTGTGGCCATCGGGACCCACACCCAGAATCAGCAGGTCGAAAACCGGGATGGAGTCCCCTTGGAATGCCTGGGTGAGGAAAGGAGACAGTCCCAAGAAGTTGTGAGGGAAGGGCGCAGAGGACACAAAGAAACAGTTGTCAGAAAAACAGGTCGCTGTAACCCAGTGAGAAATGTTCAGCCTCACCTGCAAAAAAAGGAACTCTAATCTACAAGGTTCCACATTTCACTGTCCACCTGGCTGACAGTGTGGGTATACAACTGTCCCCAAGATTTG